TTCCCCAATTGTCCATAACCATGTGCTCGTTTAAAGGAAAGAGATGCAGCGTTGAAATTCCTTTTAAATTGCTGGAAAGASCTTCGAGCTGTTTCTAATAGCACACATGTTAAAACTTAGAAGTACTGTGCAGCTCTGCTGCTGTACATTGGCTTGGCGACAGATGGATGAACACGGTGTGGTGCACACAGCAGTCACCCTGGCAGCCTGAGCCTGTCTTATTGGGAAGGGAAGACCTGTGGTAATACACAGAACACTAGAGAATAGGAAGGTAACTGGCCACGTGTCTTGCTGACACTTCAGCTAACAGGAACCATGCAGCAACAGGAGCTGGGGTTTGGAACTGTATCCCAAAAGCACTGTGGTCTGTCCCAGCTGAGGCTGTTGGAAGACAAAGCTGAATCAACTTGCACAGTTCTCGAACTACTGCTGCAAGAATTGATAGCTCTTTCCCTGGCATAAATTCACAAGCAAGTACAGACTACTCAGGTTCACTTTCAGTGGCAGTGAGCTAGGGAGCTTTCACAGTGCTGAGAAGCTGTTTTCTCTGAGCAGCATCCTGTATGTTCCCCATGCAGTGATCTCATGCCAGGCACACCGAGCTGGCCATGCTTTTACCCAGTGGCAGCTGCTTAAACGAGGGTGTGCTCAGACCTCGCGTTAACTAAGGCATCACTTGCCTTCCGGCAGACTCTGAGCCATGACAGATGCACTGCTGCCAGTCCCTCMGAGAGCTGAATGTCCCACTTTCCCTGGTGCTGCCTGCACAATCGATGGCTGTCTCAGCTCGGGGCACACGAGCTCGGGGGTTTTGCACACAGACGTGCACAAGGGCACGGCTGTCACCAACAGGAGAGGCTGCAGTGGGTGCAGCAAAGCAGCCTGAGCCCTCACAGAGGAGGCTTCTATCATTTTCATATAGCAGGCACTAACAGCTAATGAGAAATCAGCCTGCAAAGCCATGCAGTTCAGAGGCAGATGACCAAACACTAATCACGTGTCTGCCAGCAGCTAACATTAGCCGGGGAAAAAGGATCTTAACAGCCTGCAACTTCTGTGTCATGACAGAGACTTAAAAAAGAGCTCAGTTGGGAAATGGAGAGAGAATTAAACAAAAAAGAGAGAGAGAGAGAGAGAAAGGTAATTTGGCAGTATCTGTGTCCCATCAAAGGCTGCCTTGGAAAAATCCCTGAATTCTGCACTGTGGTGTCCAAGCTCACTACCACTATTGTAAGAAAACCCCGTGCTAAAGCACAGCCTATTTGCTATTACTGCTGCTGGGTATAGCAGGGTTCCCTTGAGTAGCTTGCTCCTTCCAGAGCCTGCCCCTCTACACACAGCTCATGTGTAAGGGAGYGCTCTCCCCTGACAGAGCAATGGAGAAATGCAGCACATTAGCACTGAGACAAATTTATTTGGGGATTTCTGCAGTGTACTGAGGCTGACACGTCCCACAGCCAAAGGGATATTTGCTGCAAATGCACCACTTTTCTCTCATGAACCTGTGTCCTCACTTAGTTTACAACTGTGCAGCAACCTCAGGGYTGACCTGCAGGACCMTCTAAACMSGTCTASCATTGAAMCAAAATGTTTAGTTCTTCAGCAGCCTGATCTGCTTTGGCAGCAGCACTGACATTTGGAGCAGTATCTCTACTTAAGTATGGAAAGAAGCATTTTTCCCRAAATGCCTAATGGCAGTGAAATAACAGATAATGGCAAACAGCACTRTTCACACTCTTTAAACTGCATGTAAATTACCAAGCATGTTTTATTTTTTTAAAATCAGAATGGTCCTGGGTGAAATTCTACAGCTGAGTCCCTTCCCTCTGCTATAGAAATTTTACATTCAGTTGCACAGTCACAAAACATGGCTTTGGAAGGAATCCCCGCTTACTCACAACAAAAACCACATCAATATGACTAATCACAACAGCTGTCTTACCTATCAAGAGTTTAATGGCTTCTACTTATAGCATTTAAATAAAACAGCTTGTCTGCACATTTTTCACTAAGCAATACAATTAATTCCAATTTTTTGAAGAAGCAGCTTTAATACCCACCTGATGCTTCAAAGCCTTGAGCAATACTTATGATCAAACTTGACAGAACACATGTGCCTGCTGCACAGTTAGCCGGACTGTGGAATGGCCACACAGGAATGGCTCTAGTCAGCCTTTYAAATCCCATGGAGATTTAAATGAACCACAGTTATGCTTCTTAACAAAACTATGCCTTTTTTTTCTACTCTGACCTAATACTGTCACTATCAACAGTGAAAAGGTGTTTCTGTTGCAGTAGTAGGATTGCACTGAATGTCACTCATGTGCAATCATGACTGGCTTGTGGAAGGAGGTAGGACATTTTTCTCCCAATTCCATGAAAAAGTATGTCTTTGATGATTGAAGGTTTCCCAGGTTTTTACATTGGGAAAGTACTTCCCTGCATGGCTGCTGCTTGTACTTAAAGCCTCACTGTTATTTTTTTGAGTGGTTAATGGACTTCCTTAATCTTTACATCTTCTGGAATCCYTCTATAGATCATCCAATGGAAAAGGCATGACAGGCCTAAGTACTTGGTTTATTTTGTCTTAATCAGCCTGGGAGACTTTTCCTCACTTTACCTCTGACCTGAAAGAACAAGGTGTTACCAATGGTGATGCCACTAAACTGACGGGCATTTGTTGAAGTAAAATAAAATAAAATKAATAAAACACAGCTATCACTGTGGCTGTGGGACTTCACCTGGGCACAACAGAGGCAAATTTGAAGTCTAGTTCCTTGGTGCCTGTGGAACACGTTGAGGAGAGCCATCCCAACATATACTGAATTTGTGCGCTGAAGCATTTGCAGGCTCAGGCCTTTGAATCCAACAGAATCTAAGAGCTCGTGTCTATTTTTCTGCTCCTGTCTATTGTTGACAAGCAATCCCAAGAATCTGTCACTAGCAGGCAAAAATAGAAACGGGACAGGAAACGCTATGGACCTCAAAAGAGTTTCTGGAATTTCAGTGCAGGGCAGATGTCTCATGATGATCTTATGAAAGAACTGCCCTTGAAAGTACAATGGAGAACTTTTGGACACAGAATTCCAGAAGGTTACAACACAAAAGCCTACTATGGTAATTGCAGAGGATGGTGAGGATAATGTGAAAAGCTTGTAATCTATCAGAACCCGAGTAAACTGATAAATACCAAGGGGGATTTACAGTCAGTACAGAGAAAGCTCTGAGATTGAAACAGCATTGTCAGAACAACTTATAACAAGCAAAGATTTCCCCTTCACGGGTCTGTAACAACACTGATAGACTTCAAGAGAGGYTCCAGCTGTAGAGAAGGTAACTTTGGCCTGGCACAGGACACAAGAAAAAACCTCAAGGTGTGATGGTAGGTAACATGAGAACCGTGGAAAATCTCCAGACAATGGGCAGTTCAGTGGAGGCATATCTCTGTCTCCATTTCATACTGTAGGAAATACAAGTTAGAGCAAGAGCTGCTGGTCTCTAAGYCACATAAAAAGAGGTCAAGACTAAGAAAATGAGAAGACAAAGCAGATGCCACATTGGCTCACGCAATTCTGTCTTTGATGGTGGCCAGTTGCAGCAGTTTAGGGAAAAAGTATAGGAAACAAAGAGCAGAAGAAATGTAATTCAGCTATGGATGGATTGAGCCACTTCATTTTCAAYGGTGAAATAACACAGAGTACTGTATCCCACATTCCCAGGTTGTGGCAGGGGGTTGGGGATGGTTACAAATACTTCTGACTTGTGTACTGTAACATTTCCTTTGACATAAATGAGTTTCTCTTCATGCATGAACCATTTGCAACTCAGTCTAGACTAAAATAAAAGAGAGAGAGAAATTCTGTCAGCAYTCCCTTAATCAACAGTAAATTGTGAACACGGGAGCAGAGAGTTCCAAAGCAGCCAGTTACCCCATGGAAAGTATGCAAYCTGAGGGTAAACAGCAAACMTGTCTGGGGTATGAGTACATYCAATTGTAGAACTTTGAGKATTGTGTCCTAAAAAAATTGCCACRTTTCCCAAGTACTCCTYTAGCATGATGAAGACTTCTTCTGTGAAAAACCTATTTTSCTTTTCTTTTGTCCTGCCAGTGCAGGTACTGTGGAGATGACATCATGGCCCCAAGCACTAATATAAATCCATCCTTTATAGAAACAGACGTTGGATTTACCCTGCTCATCTGTTCCAATATTTGCTGGAGTAGTTTTCTTCTACAACTGCCTGTTTGTTGTGAGAAGACAGAAACAGTGTTCTTGGGGAAAATGCACTGTATTTATATGTGCAAATTGGTCACTTTGAAACAAGGCAGGCTTAGCAAAATTTCTCCCTGAATGTCATCCCCATGCAATGCTTCCCAGCATGGACACAGCTTTACATTCTTTAACCAGTGTCAGCACCATCTCTGAGATTGCCCTTTTTAGTTCATTTTGAGAGCAAACAGAACAAACAAGCATTAAAGTACCCCCACATGAAAACCCAGGGCAGGGAGAGGCAGCAGGGAACAGCTACTGCAGGGTCAACCTGAGCTGCCTTTCCCACCATTCCCAGCAAATGAAGGATGCTCAGGGAGAGGCTGCCTGTGGCAAAAATGCATTCTTTTGTCTTCCTAACTCACTGAAATTTTGTCCATTTAAAAAAAAAGAACCGAAAAGAGTTTAAAAGCAGATCTCTGATATCTTTTTGCATGTGATCCTGATTTGAAATGAAAAGCAGTGAAAATAAAATTAAGTTACTCCAGCCTTTTAGATATCTAGCCTGAGTTAATGACAGCTGATTTTCTGATATTTAGCCGGAGTTACTGACAGCTGATTTTCTTGGTACTCCAATACTGTGATCACACTCCCTTCTCCAAATAAAAGCAACAGAGCTTCACAAGACAAGACAACTCACCTTTATTGAACTGCTAGTGCTTTTAGCATTAGGTAGAGAAGACAATTTTCTGGTTGAGATGAAAACCACTGAGTTGAACAAACATTTCTTACCGTTAAGGACAGCGCCATGCAAACAAAAGTGAACTTCTTGATATGCGTCGCTGTGACGGTGCTGTTGGTGTTCACCAATTTATTGCTGGGGTTATTCTAGGGCAAGAGAAAGAGATAGCGAGCATTAGCCTGGCTCCAGACTCCCGGGAGGCTGCTGGCACCAGGGTCATGTGCTGGACCCGACTGGCTGTGCCTGTCCGTGTCTGCCTTCGCTTGTTTGCTTTATAACCTAGAGCTTTCTGAGTACTTTGTACCACTACAGAACATTTTCCACTTAAACTGACAGCAACTGCTGCAATGGTCACTGATGGCTGAGTAATCTCCCTACTTTTCTAAGTCCAATTTAACAAATTCAGCTTTGGAAAAGGGTGGTAGCTCCTTCTAAGAAAATACCACATGATTTTTTTAACCTTAGATCAAAGTTTGTAGCATGTTTTCACACAGGAAAAACAAGACTTTATTCCCTTTTACCACAAATTGGGACCAAATCACCAAAGCAAGCATCCTTACTGATCCAATTAGACAAACAGGTAATATAAACAAAGCTTCTGGAACAYGTGGCTCCATTAATGCAGTTTAATGAACAGAACATAATTAGGACTATTAGATGTTCTACCTTGAACATGGGCTCGGTACTCACATGGCAGCAAAGTTTTAGTTAAAACAACAAAAGCCTTCTTCCAAATGTCTMATATAGCAAATGAGGCTGAGGATTTAAAATTGTCCTTGGGGAACACATAMAACCAAACTAAATGCTCTGTGAAAGGAGAGGATGGGATATCAAAGCAGAGCAGCCCCATTAGGAGCCCTTAAGCAAGAAGCTCTTAGGTCATCTGTTGCATTTATCCTGGGGCTGTTTGAGATACTCAAGTTTGGGTACCTGCTGATCAAACCCGTACCATGAGATGTACATTTATACACCCTTAATATAACTTGGGCAGAACAGCAGTACCTATCACACGATCAGCCTCCTTTACTGGAGTTACTCACAGGARAAACAGAAGGGTTTCAGACTCATCTTGGGAGTGGAGCACTGTGAAGAGTACGTCACTCCATGCACATTCAAGTGCTTGATGGAATTTTGCAACTTAAAGCTTTTGTTCTGATCAGTGCAGCAGTTACACCTGGATGGCCCCACACTCCTGATTAAGTTACTGCTTGGAAGTTCAGGTGCTCCAAGATGCAGTAGRTAACCCAGACCCTAAAGGAGGAAGCCATTCTGTCTGACCTTTTTGGGAACAGGTTATGAAAACTCTCTGTAAATGTTTCTTCATGCATCTATTCCTGTTAATTGTGTTTCTGAAGAAATCCTTTGCTACTATTAGCTCTTGCAGATGTAAAGGAGGATAAACCTTGCTCATGTCACTCACCAGTGTTTAAATGAACTTTTTGCTGCATGGCTCAACTTTCTAAAAACCTAAAAGAACAATGAGGAAGCAAAACACTCAAATCAAGCCACCCAAAAGAGCTGCTAGGAAAAAGGTTTCTCATTCATTCCTACCTCACTRCTGCTATTCCTGCCCTGGCCATACTCTGCCATTTGCTCCACCTCTTGACCAGGTACTCTTTGTTCATAGCTCTTACACACTATTTCGTTCTCAGAACAAAACACTATGGAGATTCTGGAGCAAAAAGAATATCCATTCCCATCTAGTCATCAGATCAATAGCATTCACAAATCTCTGGTGTTGCTCTGAATCAGGTGGCAGAGTCCATTAAGAGTAATGGAATTATTACCATATWAAACAGAATACAGAGCACAAAACAAGGACATGCCTGTTTTTTTTTCCCAAAATATCAGTAGTAACCCTTAACCTGAATGTGACTGCTAGGCCATGAGGTTGCTTTGGATAGTCTCATGAAAGACTGATGTAGACCCTGCATCTCTCTTACAAATGTGAAGGGAGGCAATGATTTGCCTGTGAAGACAAGAATCTGACTTCTCCAGCAGAGCCACTGAAGGGGGGCATCTCAAATCCCATCAGTCACTGTGTTTCTGATGGCCATTAGCATTGCCAGCTTCCTGGTAACTGACAAAAGAAAATGAGTTTTTGTGTGCAAACACACTGCTCTGGATTCTGAAAATCACGATGGAGGCCTTACAGGGTACAGAAATAAAAAAATGTTTTTATCTGGATTCTTCTCAGAAAGATGTAGCTTAAGGAAACAAAGCTTTTGAAAGGCACAGTGACACACAGCTGATGATGACCAAGGGAAAAGCAATTCTCACAGCAAACTAAAAAAACCCACGATGGTTTTCAGGGTTGCTATTTATTGTCTGAAAAGTACAGTGAAGGCATTTACAGTGAAGGCCAGTATGAGATGATACTCCTTACTCTGCTGCTACCTCATTTTGCACATTTTATTACAAATTGTTCTTCAAACATGGAAATAAAATTCCCAGTAGTACTTTTCCAGCAGTCAGATAAACTGTACCGATCTGTSCCTTACCCCAGCATTTTCTTCCTCATATTGCTCCACAAGAGCCCTATGAGAAGCCTTTTAACTGAAATAAACAAATGGACAAATCATGTTCTAATCCTGTCACCACTGCAGTTGTCAGCACATCTTTCACCAGCCAAATGAGACCTGAATTTAGGAGTCCTAATTGCTGCTACTATTGCATGGTAATAGTGCATTTGTTGTGGCTCATATCAAATGAGGTTAGCAGCCCCTGTGTTTCCTGTCCCAAACTATTTTTATCATGCAGTTCTCTGGGTTTGCATCTGCAGTTCCTTTTCAGCAGCATGGCTTCTGAGAAATCCTGTATGTGGTATTTTATCTGGCAGGTTAATTCAGCTGTACACAGGCAGGCTAGGAGGTTGTGACTGATTTGACTTTGTGTTGGTTTTAAATTCTCCTTGGAAATATGGTGGATGATATTAAACAGGGCTTGCTTTAGTTAAATACATTCCAGAGTAAACAAACATATTTTTCATGAGTATTTGTAACCAGAAAGTTCAGTTACTAATTGGTAAATAAAGGGAAGGAGAGGATCTGGCATTTGGATTCCAGAGTCACAGGACAGGACTGTTCTTTGCAAAACATATGGACAAGTGAGTACCAGTTCTACATCGGAACAAAAAAAGAGACTAAATAAAATTAATTTTTGTTAAATATTTACTCTGTGCTCAGTTCCAGGAGCAGTTCTTGCATYTTTACAAAATTACATGATTTACCAACAAAAACCTTCATAGCCTTAGTCAGTTAGGTTTTAGTAGTAAACTAAAAGAATGAATGTCATCTGTGTTATTGTCAGCCTGTGAAACACCCTTTGYTAAATATTAACATAAGCAAATGAACCCAAACCCACTTGAGAGATACCACAAAATCTGGAGCAGATAGAGACGTGAGCTTGCTCACTCAGTGATGACTCTTGGTGGTTACACTTAATTACCTAAATGGCTACCACACAGCAAGGACTTCTTTTAATCCTTAAAAATACAGCCCCTATCTATTCAAAAGGCAGCTWAATACCTTGTAACATAGAGGGAAGGTTAAAATCATAAATCAGGCAACAGCTTGAAGCCACCAAAAGCCAATTAATTTTAACTAGGATTTTWAGAAAACCTATCAGTGGAACAACAAACAGAGAGAACTAAGAGGACCGCACATGCAAAACCAGACAAGAGGTATTTGCATTTATGACAGCCCTAACAGGGACACTCACCTTGTCAAAAGCAGGGTACACTGCTCTGATCTCTGTCAGCCAGCCATAGGGCATGTGTCCCACAGGATATGTTGCTGTCAAAATTGCCACTGCCTACAAACAGAGAGAAACGTGAACATCAAATCTTCAAACACAACAGTTRAACTGACACAGGGTGCTGCTGCCCACCAATATCACCACACTGACCTTGGCACAATGTAAAACCAGACAAGTGACTGGAATCTTTTTGTTTCAGGAAGACCATCAAAACAGCCATCATTTGGCCTGGCATTTTAAGCTTATGRTATCTTTTTGTGGCATGAAGTTACCTAACTCAGCTTTGTCATTTCACCATCACCCTGATACTGTGAGATAATAGTTAACTTGAGCTATGGTGCACYCCTCAGCCAGCTTTCACCTCCCTTCCATATTGCTTTTGAGTAATTTTACCCACAGACAACTAAGCAGTGCAATGCCTGGCAGCTCACATTAGTTTTGGACTATACTGCATAATTTCAATTTATATACATTTTCCATGGTTATTCATAAATAAAACAGCTTTAAGTAAGACAGACTGACTTAAATTAGTGGGCCTCAGTGGCTGACTAAGTTTGGACATCAATCTGACTGCTYGGGGTAGGAGGCACGAGACAAAAAAAATCCACCTCTTCCCACTTYGGTGCTCATTGATAAGGACCAGACAAAAATAATTCCAGAKGAACATTTTTATCATAAGAAACAATTAATYGCCTGACATTTTAAAACTAGGCCCTTTTACACTCCCACAAGTACAGTTCAAGAGGTTTATCAAAGACATAAGCTGCCACACATATTAATGTGTGAAAGATTTTGGTGATGTTTCTGACTGCTGAAGAAAAAATCCAAATACATGTACTTCATGTCTTTCAGGTAGGAAAGGTGTTTTGGAGCTCCTCCTGTGGCTGCTTGTAAATCTACTGTCACTCCAAGTTTTCTAGTCCTCAGAACTGAAGGATGTATCTGTACTGCATGAGAAGTCCATGACTCTTAACTCTAGAAATCAAAGTGCTTGGGTGCATTTTGTCTGCAGGTTCAGATCTGTTACAATTTGCCTAAATTCTGATTACTTTCACATTTGGTGATGGTAGAGTTAAGAAAGACCTTTTTTAACTACTGCTGTCTGTGTTTCACTCCCAAACTTCCAATACTCATTTTCTTCATTATCTGAGCCCATTCTCCCACTATAATAACTGCTTGATTAAAAGATCTATACAAAAGCAGGACCATGTACCAAGATAATTTGCTCCCTGTGCTGTTTAAAAAGACAGTGGAATGTGATATCCAGAGAGGAGGGGAGTGGTATARATCCTTCCCTGCTAATAACAGCTTTAATAACGCTTAATGTACCTTGAAAAAGTAATTGGTTCAAATAAAATGAATTGGAATTTTAAGATAGTAACCCTTTTAATTGCACACCCTCTCATTATTGTATTTCCAGCAGAACTTCCATCTCTATGAAACCTAACTAGGCTAAATCAAGTAAGGAATATAAAAGACATTTTGGTTATTTTCATCATGAAGTCCAAAAAGACTGCAAAGACACAGTACCTGTTGAAGGAAGAAGTATTTCACTAYCACATTTTGTATGCTAGATTCTGCTTGGATTAAAGTATTGCAGTTTTTAGCAGGGATTTTTTTCCAGTGTTTTCCTCAATTGGTGTGATTCCAACATATATGCATGAAAGCTTTCCTAAATGTCTAGCACCCATATTTGGCAGGTGAAAAAGACCCCTGTCAAAGCCACCACCCAAGAAGTAGCCCCATCACCATTACTGTGCTGGCAGTCCAAACAAAAGCAGTGGGAGCTGGACAGTGCAAATGGATTTGTGCTCCTCATGAACAAGTTACAGCCCAGTCCCTCACAGGGCTCCTTGCCCACACTGAAAGCTTCTGCTATTATTGAACAGGGGACCTGTAAAACTCCTGTGGATGCCARTGCTCCAGACATTGATGTTATCTGCATTGCCAGCACCTCCCTGTTCAGAGGCAATTATTTCAGAAATCAGAGAAAGTTGGAATGTGACCATTACTGTTAGTGTAAAACTGCCAGCAAATCACCAGTTGTGCGATTATTTTGGAGTCATCCTAACAGCAGCAAAGGAACTGGCTACCYATGAAATGTGATGCATCTGAAATCGAAAGTCACCAAGAAATGTCAAACAGATCTTTGCTAATCTCTGGTTTCCCTTGTGTGGAGACCACTGTTAACACATAGACTCATCCCTGAATCACACTAAAAGTAAAAGTGTTAGGTTTATTAAGTTCTCTTTTCACAGCTGTTTATTTGCAGTCTCTGGCACCTCCTGAGTAAATGAAATACACAGTGTCACGTATGACAAATTAGCAGCAGTTCTTTTAATTTTTCTTTTGATTTAGTATCTTTTAGCTCTGCTTGTCCCATGACTACATGCATCTAGACATCCTCCCATGAAACTGGCAGCACCAGTCCCCCAGACTTCTTTAAAGAATGGGTGAGCTCATGGTGAGCTTTGGTGAAGGCTCTGCATTACAATCAGAAATCTGCCTCCCAACAGCTGTAGAAGACTTACTGGAATAATCTGAAATTCTACAAGAGAAGCAGAGTGCATTTCATATCCCAGCCAGGAGACAGATTTTTTTTTAATATGTGCGTTTTTATGTCTCTACACTRTTCTGTGTGATGCACTGACTGCTAACAGTAGTTTCACACCAGTTTGTTCTATAAAATATACATGACAGGAAACAGCAGGACAKGAGACTACTGACAACTGTCCTAAAATCTCTGGCATCTGAATGCTTCAGATTACATGTAACTACATGCAGAGCATGAAAAACTGGGGTGCAAGTACTGTTCAGTGAAAAAATTCTGTTGCTCCTGTTGAGGGTGAGGTCCCACTAGACCTGGCAGAGTCCAAGCCATCTTCTTTTCAAGCATAAAAAGAGCACTAAACAGAAATGTATCTAAAACAATTTTTTCTTGACAGCTTGACTAAGAAAAGAGACACAAAGTAATGCCATGTAAATGATCACTTGCAGTAAGGGAGAGCACTGACTTTCTTACCTCGGTGGCTGCAGAACTGCCACCTAGGTCCCGGGAGACAAAAAGGTTGACAATGGGCCTACTTATTCGCTGAGTTGCCAAAATTAATGCCAAAGGCCACCAGAAACTCAGCATCTTCCTTATTGTAGCTTCTCCCTGCAACACAGGATAGAAAAAGTTAAGTGTGTTYGGAAAAAAACACACAGCACAGAACCAAAAACACAGAGAAAGGTTTTCTGCTTTTCCCATTCTTTGTTGGTTTGGTACATTCATTTCAATAATTTTCAGTATGAAGAGCCTAAAATATTTTCACTCATATTAGCRATACTGATTCAGAAGAAGATGTGTCATGGATCTCAATAAATAATGCATAAGGTATCTATCTGCATAATTTGTTCTGACTACCAGACAAAGCTTCATGAAAAACAATATGACATTTGAAGAAAAAGAGAATTTTGATATCTTCTTCCACATGAGTTAAGGTGTTCACTAAGTTCATGCTGTGCTGTCTGACAGCTCAGTACAGAGGTCCTCAGTAGACCCATCAATGCCATGGAAGGCATTGTCTCACATGTGCWCTTGCTGCAATAATTTCTACCATGCCTCTTTAAGTGAAATTGTTTTTTTCTGCAGCACAGAGAGACGGCCCTTCATGCAGAGTGGCTTAATGCAGTAATGTAACACAAACCGCCCCTCTCAAGTTTAAAATTACTGAGTTTGAAAAAACACAAGTATGAAGACATACCCCCATTTCAGGCCCACTTCTGTCAGGAATAACATCATGTATGTTCCTGTAGTATCCGAGGCATAATGTGGTACATCGCACAAGTGCTCCCATGTACAAGGACAAGATTGGGATCAAGAGAGGCTCCCTGCACTCCAAGTGACTGTGAAGCAAAATGGCTACAAAAACAACCTGCAGAGCAAACAAACAGATGATCAACRATTTCTCTGTGTGTTTCTCCAGGGCCAACACCTCTCCTGTCTGATTCCTAGCTCATCCATCTACCAATAACATGCATGACTACAATATCTACCTGACCTCAAGCTTAGAAACTTTAGTCAGGACCCCCTGGTATTTGGTCATAGCCATGAGAAGAACAAGAGTTAACTCCATACTCCATGAAACATGACTTGAAGGTTGGGCAGGTGTCAGACTAGAACCCATAAATAGCAGAAGGCTGGCATGAAAGTCTGGCAAGGTCTGGCAGCAGGCATGTGGCTGAGTGTCACCCTTCCCAGGAGAATGTGCTATTCTGATACATGCTGAGGCTGGGGACATGCTTCTAGGGTCAGCTCCTAAGCTCTACTAGTTTGGGGTTTTTTTTTTTTGGCAGGGAGGTGGGTAGTGGCAATTAAAAAGCCAGATGTTTTAAAGGATTCATTTCAACATTTAGGAGCAGGAAATCTTACGTCAACCTATTTTTCAACTTTTTCAAGTGAAATTTCATKATTTCATTATTTGCTCTTCAGCTGAGTGCCACATAAATGTAAATTAAATGGGAACTTTTGGGCTAAAGAACAGCTAATAATTCAGCCTCTTAAACCTAAATGCTCAATCCATAAAATGTAAAAGAATTGATTAGTATGATATTATTCTCTTTGTTAAGTAGAGAAAAGAAGACGTGCCTGTTAAATTCCAAATAACTCTGGATGGTGGGCACAACTGGAAAGCCAATTGTGTTTGGTGCTGTGAAGAGCAGAACCAAGACAACCCYGCCAGGACAGGCAGGCATTCAAGTGAGTTACAACAAACACAGTACACATGGTTCAGGTGCAGGTTCTCTCCTTCACTGCTAAAGAAGTAGTAGTACTACTTCACTGTAGAAGTAGTTCAGAAAAACCACACTCTGCAAATGTTCCTGAGGCAGGCCACAGTGCCTGTAAAGGTTTGCAAAACCGCTCTTTTGAAACCTACAAAAACATTGCTTTTCAGTAAACRGAAGCAAAGTCAGTCACAGAGAATATGCACAGAAAGGCACCCAAGGAGAACTGGCTCCTGCCTGTGTCCCTGTTCCCTRTGTAGGGAGCAGATGTAGGTATAGAGTTCTGGGGTATGACAGCAMAACTTTTTGTGTTCTGGAATTGCTCTTGCTCTGTGTAGTATTTGGTTGAAAGAAGATGACAGGTGTCTTCATAACCCTGGCACCCCACTCACCGAGCACTGTGGAAAGGGCACGGCCAAAATAAGAATTTGTTTCTGTATTTAGCTGTGCGTGACCTGACATGCACCCAGTGTCCGGAAACTTTGTAGGTCACATCAGAACAAGAGCAGACCCTGAGGGTTAAGGTCATCTACGGTGATTGGTATTATCTCTGGGGACTTAGTGAAGTACTGCAGGGGGGCAGAGCAGACCTGACAATACAGAATAGCAACTGACTGAATGGTTCAGCCTGGTTTATGGTTTCCTTACGTTTAGTGAAAGGAAAATGTGAGTTTAGTGAAAGGAAAATGCGACGGAGAATTGAACTTAGTGCTGCTGACTTCCTATTTCCTGTGATGTACTGTTTTATCCTCTTTCTTATCCAGTCATTACACCACTCAGCTGGTGATGGGGCACTACAGCAACTGTTTAAAGGTGCTGGGGCTCTTAATTTTGTACTATTTTTATATGTTTTCAAAASAGGGTTGTATATTGGTTCTTAAATGCCACAACACAGCCCATCACCAGTGGGTATGAATGTTGGTTTTTTTTCACTGTGCCTAATACAAAGCAAAAAGATAGTTAAAACCTCCCTTTTGGAAGTTCAGAAAACATTTGGTCTTCTCTGCATCAGCCAGGGGTTATCACCACAGACCCCTTCCAGTGTGCTTCTGAGCCTGCACCTTTTGGAACAGTGACACTCAGAACCTGGCTTACACTGCATTTCCACAGATTAGACACMACGTGCAAAACTGACAGGTCAGCTGGAGAATCAAGCCTTCTCCTCCAGATCAGGATTTCACTGGAACTGTGGGAAGTGCTGAGGAGAATGCACAGAGAGAGAAAGGTCTCTTTCAAAGCACTCTCTCAGAGTCAGGACTGGTAGCAGCCAGTGGTCTCTTTGCCTGACCTTTCTTTCTCCCAAATGTACACGTGTACATACATCATTTGTTCCTCATTGTGAAACAGGGCTGTGGAAGTGCTGGAGGACATGACCCTGGCCAAAAAGTMCTGGGAACTGACTTGATCCAGGCAAGTGAGACTGTCCTAAACCACAACTGTCAGCAAACAGCCTTCACATGATGAAGGAACAGTCAGAGGGCAGCACACAAGAACACTTTCTCTGGTGTCCTGTTCATGTAACAGAGAGACTCTCTGTATAAGGGGGTTCTTGCTTAGGAAAGCATCTGGTCCATAACATAATGGGAACAGTGACTTCTAGGAGGAGCYTTTACCTGAGCTATGACATCTGAGATGGAGGCACATCCCACTAGGAAACTGTACTTGTGTTTCAGCAGAATCCCAGCATGGGTCCATGCCTGAAAAAAGTCAGAAAAATGTTTCAAGTGATTATAATAATGTAAATGATTTCAGGTCCAAAAATGCTGTTTTCTGGTTGTTACACTGTACACAAGCAACCTGCAAGGCTCTTTTCTACCAGCAATACCTGGTGTGAACCYGGGCAAACACTAAGTCATTAACACAGAGAAAACACTGCTGCACTGAGTTCCTCATTGCCAGGCTGGAAGGGAGAATAGGAATAAATTTATAGACTGTTTAGAAATTTCTGAGCACATCTAGTAAGAAACCAACCCTTCATAAATCAGATGCTGGACAGGATGAATTATCATAATAAATAATCTAATAAATAATCATTCACCAGCTGGATGCACCTCTGAAGTGTAATATCCTTTGGCCCATTGAAATACACAGAATCCTGTCTCAAAAAGAAAACTTAATGATCCAACATTTTTTTATTGTCAGCAACTGTTTCAAGCAAACCAAGTGGTGAGAAAGTGGTGCAGGCATTGCCATAAGGTTATCCTTTACTAGTTTTCCACAGAAGCAGAGGTGTTAAARAGAGTTGCCACATTTTCATGCTGTGCAGGCCACAGGCAGTGAACCTGGCGATCTGGGAAGCAACAGCTCACCCCAYGGCTTCCTTGCTTGGTTCCCTTGCCCAAGCATTTGAGAATATACTGGGCCTCGTTGTGCTTGAAAAACTGATGGTAACAAATATCTTTTTGACAAATTTGCTTTGGGAAAATATTGAGTTTATTCCTTATGAGCTCTGCAAGTGATCTGAGAATGCACAGTAAATTCAGATCTTTCACTACAAATCGGAATGAAGTCACATACAGCCAGCCTGTGCAGCTCACCACAAGGTGACCAGGGCTTTCCAACATGCACATACTGTAACTCTAACAGGGCAGCTGAGATTTGTGATATCCGTCATGATCTCTGGATGTTTAAAGCCCACCCAGATGCTTTCTCCATGTAGCAGGAGACGAGTCTAGATACACCCAGAGTTACTGCTTGCAAAGGACACAGCTTACTTGTGCATTCTCCAGTTTCCCACCAGCTAACAATATTTGTGAACTAAGGTCACAAAACCCATAACATTAACATTAAATTTCAGTTCTGAATCAGGCACTCACCATGGCATCCATAAAAGGGAAGGCAGCAAGATAAAGGAAGGCCCTCCGAGTTTTACTTCCCACTGATTCATCCACATGGTGCAGCTTATTAATAATGTAATACCCCAAATCACTATATGCTGTAGAGAAACAAGAATAAGAATGAAAAACAAAGGTTACATACGGACTCTTCGGTGAAATATTCAAAAGTACCTAAAAGACCGTGATGCCTTGGAGCTCAGACACACATCCACCTAGCAAACAGCTGCAGGGGCTTCAGATATTGCARCTTCACCAGCTGCTGTTTATGACTAAGAAGTGCTCTTATGGTTCTTTTTAAAGTAACCTTTGGCAGAGAGGCGATAACAAATGGCTGGATTGGGAGATGGGTATAGTAAGTGCCACATCTGTTTGCTAAATGAACACACTGGTACTCCAGAAAATCTACTGCTCTGTCATTAAATCAAGGCTCTTTGTTAGAAAAGCTGTTTTCACCAGGCACTGTGAAATTTCACCACGTCTATTTCATGGGATATAGTGCCTTATAAATGCTGAAACCATCTATTATYACTGCATTCTCMTGACATTACCTGTAAACCTGCCCAAAGCTGTAAAAGGATACTGTGATTTGTGATGGCATGCAACAAATCACTCTCATTATGTCTCTTCCTTACTCTGCCTAATGGCCACCTCTGCCAGRACCTGTCAGGACACTGTGCTGTCCCTGGGCAGCCCTGACCTGCCTTAGTTTCATTCCTTATCTAGAGCCAGCACCTCAGGAGCCAAAAGTCAGAAAAGGGTATCTCTGGAAATCAGGGGGTTCCCACTTCTGATCGCCAGTTACTTCACTGTCCTGTTTCAACCCAAGKCAACTTCTAGTGTTGGCAAATATAATATGCAGAGTAAAATAATCCAAATCAGTTTTAGCCTCTTATAAACTATGTTCTAGACCTGCACATCATTAYTTGATTGCATTTTAGTATAGTATTGCATTAGTATAGTATTGTATTATTACACTCTTACAACAGCTGTTAAAAGAATAATYAGGCTGTAAGGCCAACCTCCCAAGGCAAGTAATGGCAGAATTATTTGTGCCTGGGGAACCTTTCTTCAGTTCTCTCTTACATGTGTGCTTTCTAAGTCAACTATTTCTAATGTGAACGTCTATTTGATTTTCCATTTATAACTATGGATTTATACATATATATATATATATATATATAACATTTATAACTCTATAATCCGTGTATGGATCTTCATATAGGGTATTTCAGGAAAGTGATCCTTTTCATGCATGCAGGTCTCATAACTGGTTTGACAAATGCTAACATTAGTCATCAAATTTAATCCTCTTGGCCTAAAACTGTCTCTCTTAGCTCATAAACACTATTTGGAAGCAATTAAAGAGGAGTGTAAGTTATCATTGTTTTGTGATGGCTTAGAGATACAGCAGCTAAATGATTAACAGAATTGAAAAGACCATTTGAGTCCAAACAAGACAATGTAAACAAGAGAGTAAAATAAAAAGGTGGATGACAGCACTGTGAACAAGCACAAGCCTCATTCCAGTTAACCAGGACTGCCCAAAAGATGCTAAAAATGTCAAAACCTCCCCCTTTCGCTATGCTGGTCCCTATCTATATGACTTCTACCTGAACTGTGACTGTTAGACTCTGTCTCCAAATACACTCATTAAATCCCAAGTTGCTTAGCCAACTCCCTGAGGCATTTCAGCCTTGCTTCCTTTTGTAGGGGGTTGGGGAAGAATTCTAAACCACAGCTCCAATCTTTATTCAGTTTACAGAGGGCAGTTTAGTCGCTTAAGTGTTCAGATGCTTGCRGCAGTTCAATCAAACATCAAGCATAGCCTCTTCATATTTTTGCATGAATAGCCATGCACCAATCTTCACTCACTGTTTTGAAAAAACTCTGCCATGAATGGATTTTGCATGGTAAGTCCTTGTGGAAAGCTGCTTTCATGGCARGGCAGTACATGGATGTTTCTGGATCAACTTATTTCAGTGAAGGTCAGATTCACTGAGCTCTCYCTTAGGTTCCATTGAGTGTGCTTTACACTTCTGCACAAAAACATTTTAAAAACTGCTGCGGAAGACACACCATCTTGTACCCCACATAAGGACTGACTGAACCAGACCCCAGGTGCTGAGGAACCTGCTTCTGTGGAGGGGCCACGTCCCACAGTGCAGTGCTGGAAGCAGAGCATGCTGCAGAAGTCACCCTTCCATGCTCTCYCAGCCCTTTGCCTGTTATAAATGAGACTTTTAAAGTGTTTAGAAAGTGAGTAATAAGTAACTATTTTGTCTCTGAAAGCCATTGAGATTTTTTTTTTTTTTACTTAAAGTTTACTATCACAGAAAAATTCACAGATTCAGAGGGTCAGAGGCTGAACTACTCTCASTTCTAAAAAAAGGATTGTAGTTATTTGCAGGGCACTCTCAAGAGACTTATACCATTAYAGCCCATAGCACCACGTTTTTAAGAATTCTAGGGATATCAGCAATGAGCTCTTCAAGCTTCAAAGATTTTACTTTTTTCTCTGCCCCATCAAAAAGGAGTTTAACTGTACTTTTTAATGTGATTTTGGTTTTAAATTCATAATGGTTAAACCTAAAATATTATTTTCAAAATGGTCAGCTATTTCACATGTCAGTGGAAGCACACAATCACTTTTACTGATGTCCATGAATTTTTCCATCTTCRCAAAAAAGGACTTAGCAAACTGAGATTCACTGACAAATATACAGACATGTGTCACTGAGCTGTGAATCAAGCAATTGCTGATGCAATTAGAACTTAACCTTGGCCAACCTTACAAACTTATTATGAAGAATTGTACGAAATTAATAACACAGACAGCAGAGCCAGAGAGAATTACATGAATCTAAAGCAGATGGCGCTTCCCACTTCTTGCATCATTTTGACTAAAACAGAGAAGGCCAAGACTAAGACAAGCTGCCTGTTTGCTCTCCTCTAATACCTCATTTGTTTTGCTATGTCTAAGGATCTGTTTTGCTACAAAAGTTAAGCAGAAATTTTTGCTTTTGGGTTTTCCAAAAGGAGTTGAAAGAACCCAGGTCAAGAAATAATACTGAAAACTGTACACCTAATTGGATCTTCTGGTCCCTACACCRATTTCTCCAACAAGCCAATTACCACCACATGAACTTCAGACATTCTTAAAACAACACACTCGTAATGATGCCAGCAGTCTCAGACAAATAGCTGTACTGTAATTATTTTGGAGCTGACTACTACTGAGTGTGTCATGCTTAAATCAGAAAGAAAACACTCTCAGAGGAAGTGATACCCTTTACTTCCAKACACAGAGCTATATATGTCAATACTGTCTTTGCTGGAAGAAAAGAAATCTGAAACATGATTTTGGGTTACTGCGTTCTTTCCACACACATTCCRTTTACATACTTTGCTGCCAGTTTTAAAAATGAACGTGGAGACTTGAGAAGTAACAAATCTATTCTGCTGCTTGTCGGAAAGATGGTTCACATGGCCAGAACTGGTGCTCGTTAAGAGTTTCTCGATCACAGAATATTCTGAGTTGAAACAGACACACAAGGATGGTCAAGTCCAACTCTTAAGTGAATGGTCTGTACTGGGATTAAACCCACAACCATGGTTTTATTAGCACCATGCTTAACCCAATGAGCTAATTTGTTCATCTAAGTGTTTTCGGTAGATAGGATAAACSAATGTGAAAAAATAATAGCAAATCTTCATTTGGAGATGGCACAGGGTATATAGACATATAGAGACAGATTCTTTATGCCTTTGGTTAGCCAATTTGAAACAGAAGAGAAAGCCTCTGTTTTCCACTTGTGCAAGCTCACACGACGAGGGTGTTTAAAGCTTTGTGATTTTTTTTGTTTGCCTATAGCAATTACATGAATAAAAAAAAAAAAATCAGAATAGCTTAGGAGCATCTCAATGCAGACTGATTACTGCAATCATATTTTTCTGTGCTTGGCTCTAGTTCCAAAAATACATCAGTTGATTTTCCCAAATTTATCAATGACTTTTGGTATCTRAAATATCTTCATATAAGCCAACATCTCATAAGTCTCAAAATTAGCCTGTTTCWACTGAAACCAAATCACTGCTATCCAAAAGTGTTTTGGTCATAGGCTTTATTCCTCTGTCCTGAGTACCTTACTGAGAAGAAACTACCCTGTTGTGRGAAAAGGGTTGGGGCAGCCAGGGAAGCAGGTTACCGCTTTAGCAATGACCATGCGTAGATGCAGAAGTAGGACAAATTTTTAATGAATAGCATCTTATTTAAAGAGGGGGGAAGGAGGCAAGCAGGAACCCTGCATTATATTCTGATTTGTGTTCCTGTGCTATCACTTTTTTCCAGGACAAAATGTTTATTATACTCCAGTACAGTATCTTGTCGGAACAAAACTGACTGCAAAATATACCTCAGCTTGTCATAACCCACTCCGTAACTGGAAAATTCCAGTAGTGTTACACTGGAATTGGTGGGATTACACCTATACCTCATTTATGGCGATTTTTAATGTACATGCAGTCATCATGCATGTGGGAAGTTCAAAAGYATCAGTGGAATTGCTAGGAACTGCYGACGTTTTCCTCTGGGCAATCTACAGCCCACGCCCAGAAGCCTGACAGTAATAAACAAGCACAAAAAAAATCACTCGCATGTTTTGTGCCTCCAATCTRCTGTAGATTACCAAAGTTAACCTATACTTAAGTTTACTGACTACTAAAGTTCCACCCTTTTTCTCCTGATGATAACAATGATCCATCATGTAGCTTTTAATCAGGTATTGTAAAAAGCAAAGAGGATGTTTCCTCCAAGTAACTGCTGCCTTGTCATTTCCAGAACTACCAAGAGTTWTTCAAAAGGAAACAACCTTTCTCAATAAACTAGGGAAAAGTTGAACAGTGCTATTTTATTGCCAATCTGCATGCCCTTCATGACACTGATGTTAAAAGGACTCACTTAGTATGGATGGCTTACCAGCAACACTAAGAAATGCATTACGTTAGCATAATGTTATATAAATTACTTTTCTTCTCTGTCAAGCTGGCAATTTAGTAAGATGTAAAAAATATGYGCAGACAGGCTTAGCATCTTGAATCTCTTCTCTTACAGCCACCAAAAAGCCAATCTCTGAAATAATAAGACACTTCAGACCCTGGCTCCATAGCAAGCTTCCCACCAGGACACTAGCTGGTGGCAGTAGCTGCCCTCAAAGTAGCCCAAGGGAAGGAAGGCAGAACACAGTATTCCAACTCCAGATCACACCTGAAACAGCAAATCCAGGAATACTGTGCTGACAATGYTTACAGCAGCATTTTAAGTGGCCCGAGAATATGGTTTCAAATCCCTTTGGCCAGCTTGGTTCTCAGTCATTATTGCTACCTGTACAGGGGAGTGAAAGGAGACGCTGGTGAGGRCTTTGCAGACTTTTACAAGGATGTGCTTGGGTGATGACTTAAGGATCCAGTGCTTGCAACTGTTGAGTTCAAGTGGTTTAGCTCAGCCAGTCACTGGCACAGAGGATTGTGTGAGCCCCAGTGGGGAAGCAGCAGCGGGGAGCTGGTGCTGAAGTAATGAAGCGTGAGTCAGGTGGGTGAAATGGTCTGGTTTGATATTTTCCGTGAGTAGAGGCTGCTGTTTGTGAGRAGCTGTGTGTGTAGACTGCAAATAGTCTCTATCACAGTTGGAAATGTGGTGATTCATCGTGGTCACTGTGTTTCTACCACCACTTGTTTTCTTCCTTTTGACTTTTGGCACTCCTTATTTCATCAGGCTTTTTGTCTTCCATTTCTTCCTGGGCTTTGACAGTCCATGGCAGACAATCATATCATCTTCTTTAGCCCTATATTCATGGCATGTGGAAAAAATCCAGTCCCCTAAGCATTACTTGTGTCTCTTTTTCATCCAGCGAGYGTCAGTAACCTGTATCTGCGTCTCCTGCAGATAGCCTGTGATAAGATTGCAGCTGCTGGGGAGCACTCGCAGGTCCTAGGAGGCTGCCTGTCACTGCACTCCTTCTCCTCCTCCTGCTAGGCAGGCTGTGCATCTGTGGGTCAGAGCAGAATAATCAGGACTTGAAAYGGGTTCAAAGGAAACTTGGAACATAAAATTTGGCAACAACACCCAGGCAATCGGTGCTAGAATCTGACTAACTCCATTCCCTCAGGCGCTCTGCCAGTCTCTGCTGTGGCCTTTGCATATTTTCAGGCATAGACAAGTTAAAATACCAAAAAATATTTTGCAGCCTTGTCACCATAAAAAGCTGAAAGATTGTGTGCARCCCTTTAATTCAGGACTTTAAAGCATGGTAAGCACAGCGTCCTTTTTTTYCCAGTATCTGCAGAGGGCATTTCAGAGTTCTGAACTCAGCAGGGCTCTACTTCCAGGGAAAGACAAGAAACTTATTTGACAGATTTTCCAACCATTGTTCCAAACACCTCCTTTTAATAAGAAGTCCCACATGGAAAATCCARTGATGTCTTTCACCTGGAAATCTGATAGTTAAACTTAAAAAAAAAAAAATCTATCCTACATTAAAATAAAATACTGGATGACTAGAAAATAACTTTTTATCCAGCTGGCAAAGGCAAAAACGTTGACCAGCACTGGCAGGAAAACCAAGTGAGCAACTAGAAGAGCAGCTCTGAAGGCTGAAGAAACATTCCAAGCAAAGAAATATGAGAGCCAAATRTACAAATGGCCCAAAGTTTGTTACACTGACTCAATAAAGCAGCCTCAAATGTAAACATATTTACAAAGTGGCCAATCAATACCAGTGTATTAAATTAACGTGAATGCATGGATTCAGCTTATAAAATTAACAACAGCTTATCCCTGGCACAGAGTTGCCCTGGCTAGTGAGCCATTACTGTAAACATTTTTTATGACCATAACATGCAGCAAAGCTAAATAGCACAGGGCTTGCATACCAGTGGTGGAATAACAGATATGATGGTCAAAACAAAATTGTATTGCTTGGGAGGCACATGCAGCTGCTGAATATAGCTGGCAGTCTGTCAAAGGATAAGAGCAGGGGGCATGTGTACTTACCAGATGAATCTTGTACCTGCTGAGGCAGGAACTGAAATAGATCTATTCTATTCTATTCTATTCTATTCTATTCTATTCTATTCTATTCTATTCTATTCTATTCTATTCTATTCTATTCTACTCTACTCTATATGATGAACTGCAGCACATATTGCTCTTGAGATACTAACAGCCTGATAGTGAATGCTGCCTCACTTCCAGGCCACTCTGTGGTTTCACAGCAGTTCAGGATATTGCCATTACACTGCATTTCCCATTTTTTTGTGAYGGAATGACCCCCTACTGGTGATCATCCAATCCAACACAGCTGCCTTTCAACCAGCACATGCCTCCATAGGCTGTCACATTACCTCCTCCCTCCCACCCCTTACAACTCCCAACTTCTTAGGATTTTACCTGCTCAATGCTGTGCACTGTCTGTTTCTTCCTCCAGCATCTCCTGTTCCTCATTGCTGAGGTCCAGAGGTTTCGGCTCTGTAGGATACGCCAGAAGGTGCAGACAATCTGGTGCAGTTCTTGGAGAGGATGAAGTTAAAATTCTTCTGAGTTAAATGGCTTTTTGTTGCTGTGGCCGACGCTTGAGTTGGTATCCCACTTCTCCAGGCTCTCAAAAACTGGAAAATCCTGTGTCTGCCTTACTTTTAATGTTCAGTTTGTGCCTTTTTGTGTATTTTCTTTGTTCCAGAGTACACTCAGGGCGTTGGTCTGAGTTTGGTACAAATTGCTCTTAGCAACCTCTTCCTCACAGATAAATTTTTCAACAAAAGTRGATGATGATTGGCAGCAGTAGAGTACTACCTGATGTTTTAATGAGGATGCTGGCACCRTCCTGCTCAGTGTTTTGTACTGTGAGATCAGTAGCAAAGGAATAGGTACAGAGGGAGCACACCAACAATGMCACCAAGAACTGACAAACACCCTACCAAACACACCTGAAATCCCGCCAAACCAACCCAGCAGACACAGCCAGCTGATCATCCCTACCTAACAGTAACTGAGCTATCAGCTCCAGGCAACCTGACAATCTCGCCAAAGTTTTGCTCGCACACTGGACTGAAAGAGATCAGCAAAACGTTTTGTTTCCAGGCAGGAGAGCCCTGTGTGTGGAATCTGCTCCTTAACAACCTGTTTAAACAGCAATAAAAATTGCATAGATGAGCATGATACCAGCCCAAGAGATCTCTTTTGCATCTCCTGCTGTACTTACAAATGAAATATTAAGCCTACAGCTTAAGCAGTTTGAAGAATGGGTGAGGGAAGCAAATTAAAAGTCATATTAACTAGACATGAAGTGACCTTACCTATTAAGGTATGAAATATAGCAGCTACAGCGCCAGCCACAACCATGCACAAAACTGCTTTGGTCCTGTCTCTCTTGCTGTTCACAAACACCAGACCTACATTTTTGAAGTCACTCATYGGACCTGTGAAGAACTTCATCAGGGAGTATGCCAGCCCATAGCTGGCCAACATTTCCACAGCATCTTCCTTGACAGCAGCGATGCCCCTATTCAAGGCCTGCAGAAACACAGAAAGAGAAAATAATGTAGCACATATGAAAGTGTACCAAACACAACCTCATGCATCTGTTTCTGAAGGAACAAGCAAGTTTAGCTGTCGTTGTTTGCACCCCAAGCTGGACTTTATTTCTCTGGATTCAGCAGCAGTAACTTGTGTTTGGTGACATAGGCAAAATAATTTAATATAGATTAAAGTCAAGTCAAGTATACTTGAACAAAAGGTGAGTATTTATTTCTGATGTATATAATGGAACTTCTGCTACACCAGAAGCCAGTGTCTTTCCTTTTTAGAATAACTCTATGACCTGCTAATAGTCATGGATTAGCCATGACTGAAATACTGCTCTGAGGTTTCAGCCATGATTTCAACAGAGTACAGTCCTTGCTGATCACCTTTACTGGTCAAAGCTCTGACATATGCTCAAAGTTGAAGAGCAAAAAAGCTTTTCCCATGTAACAGCTTTTCATAACATCCCATGTAATTGTTGTGAAAAGCTGAAATTAGTCTCTGACTTTCATTATGAAATGAGGTCAAATATGTATATGATTAAATATAATTGACTCCTTCCATGTAGTTGACATAGGTATATTTGTGTATATACAAATTTGTGTATTTTTATTTGATATTATATTCATTTAAATCCCCTTGTAGGAAATTTAAAAAGAAATGCAACCCATGTCTTTCAAGACATATTCAGGTACAATTTACTAATTAATTCTAGGTTGGTGTTTAGAAAAAGTCTACCAATGAATCATTAAGAATTAGATGGATTATTTCTATGACTAAAGTGAACTATATAAAAGATGTGTAATATTCCTTCAGACCCCAGCTTGAACCAAAATGCTTCTAAAGTATTGAATAAAAATGACAGAATGATAAATTTTATCTGCAATGTGACAGCATCAATCATCTGGTGCACCCAGCAAACTTTTAAAACCATATTAGATTCAAAAAGCATGAAGGATGAAATATGATTTGTTTTAACAAGTATTTAGTTCCTGTGGGTTACAGCTGATGTGTGCTGACAGGGCCATGGCGATGAGGGCAACCAGGGACATCTCGCCAAGCCACCACCCAAGCCTCACTCTACTCACTTACACAGCAGATCTAATACAACTTTATCTGAATGAACAAACCACGTAGAGTATAATCAAGTAATGGTGCTGTAGTCCTTCCATTTCAAATGTTAGCATCATCTTTTTGTTGCAGTTGTCTGACTTTATTTTCCCTTCCAAAGATCATACAAGCAAGCAACTTCATTGACTGGAAAAGAACCTGCAGCCCTGAAGCAGAAATCAGCATTTTTCCTACTGTTCTTTTCCACTCTTTCTATAAGACATTCTTAATTTCTGAAACTAAAGCTGCACTGTCAACATAGCAAAAAGCTGTAGAAAATACCAAGTTCTCCATCCTTGATATCTGTCACATCTCTCTTTTAATGTGCTCTGACCTGAATGCCTGAGGCTCCAAATGTTTTCATCTGTCTTGCTCCAGTTTCTTCCTTCCTGAAAACACCAGGTGTTACGKATGGAGTACCTGCAGCTGCTATATATAATTTTACTGGTATATGTAACTTCTCCTGGGATATATATAATTCCATCTATTGCATTGATATCAGTTCAAATTATTTTAAATCTGCTGATGCCAAAAGCACTGCTGTGTGCACAAAATTGTATTCAAACAATTTGTGGAAGACTGTGGCCTCTGAAATAAATGGTCAAGTTTAGTTGTCTTTTGTGATGACGTTTGTGATGGTGAAGTAATCAGTATCAAGGTGTATAAAGGGTTACAATCTCCTAATTTAAAGGAGATCTTTGCATCTCATTCAGCATCTTGCTAACGATGCTGAATCTCTCMATTGCTGTTGCCAGTAATAGACAAATAGCCTTAAATGATGACAAATAAAAGGTACCTGATCATGGCTCTTACCCTCTCTTTTCTTCTGTCAAGAGTGAAATATTTCTGGCAGCTTCAATTTAAAGAGAAACAGCTAACCAATATCAGGCAGGCTAGTTTAAAATCTTCTCATCACATGTAAAWGCCTGAATTATTTCCAGCAGTTTCACAAGCACAAGTGATTCCTTCCTGCTTTGTACAACTATAGAATACCAGAGTTTGTGGAGGATGGTAATCCACTTCTGACAAGGTCATGGGATAAAAAAGGCTTTAAGAAATATCATTTTGTCAAGAGGCATGGCACTACAATCCCTCTGCAGAKAGAAATCTCTGCCTAGCACAGACCTCATGCCAGTGAAAACAGCTCCATATGACTCTGGCCCTAAGGTAACYACATTTTTCCATCTAAGTAGGACAGACAGAAAGACTTAAGCACTCTTTCTCTCCCTCTCTGGTTTTACTGAACTCTTTTGAATAAACAAATGACAGCCAACCAAGTAGATAACTTCTGAGTAATCTTGCCTGGAGACACCCTGTGTACCAGGTAAGGTAAATTGGGAAAATCCAAAAGGGAATTTTGTAAGAGATATGTTGCCATTAATTTTTACTTCTCTGGAATGTGTGGTTGACATGATGAAATACTCTAGAGGCTAGCCCTGAAAATGCAATCCTTCCAAATGCTTCTTYGGAAAGATCCTTAGGAAATGAACAGTCAATAGCTGTGTAAAGATGGTTTAGCTTCTGTAGGCTTTTCCTTTTTCACTCTAGAATGACGATGTGAAAGACTCTTCATCCTCAACTTTCAAACTCTCTAGGAAAACTTGCATAGCATTTCTGCCCTATGTACTTCCAAATATTTTTGCTGCTGAAGCTGTTGATGTCATATTTGATATCCTTAAATCCACAAGAAATCTCAGATACTGATATAGAGCGGCTTTGGTGTGCAATGTGAAAGACTTGGTCTTTTATGGCACACCAGCCATGCAGTTGTAATCTTCCAGTCTAATTTCCTGTTAGATCTCCAATTAAATCTGTCATAAAGGAAGGCAATATAAACCAGGGCAAGTCTCCATTTTTAAATCTGATTCTATTTGGTACACTTCTTGTGTGAACAGAAATCAGTAATGGAAGTTCATCAATAGCATCTGTGTCACAAGAAAGAATACCTTACAAATATTTGTGTAGCTTGTCAATGAAGCCACACAAAACTAGATAGCATTAAGACTAGTGACAATATTTAACACAGCATGTTAGCTTCATCATATGTATTTCGGATGTCATCCTATTTTGAACCAGCTTATTCACACCACATTTGATGGGATAACTAGGAAATCCAGATGCTGGAAGACTGTTGGTGACAACACCTTCTCCTGAGTTCTTAATGAGCCACTAATCAAATATAGTAGTAGGTGAAAATAAAGTGAAATTAATCCATTGTGATTAAAACAAAACCACAGATACTGCTGACCCTTCTTTTAGAAATAACAGAAAAAACCGCACAGAACACTTCCAGGCAGAGCACAATCTGGCAGACACATGGACAGGTTAGTTGAAGTAAGTCATATTCCTAAAATATTTCTCAAAAAGGCAGGCACCAAGATATACGGTTACTTCTACATAACGTCTTCTATAACACATTTGTTATCAATAAAAATATGAAATCTTTACTTGCTAACAACCCTTTGAACCATTTTTTAATGAATAATTGTGTGCTGTCTTTAATTTCACTAAAATCAGAGAGGAGGAGCATTTTTAAATTCCCATCCAAAAGATTCAAGTCAGAGGAATATCAAATACACTTAATGACGTTGCAAGCCAGTAACCACATCTTTAAATTGGATACTGCAGCTGGCTTTATCCTTTTGGAAGGAACACATRAGACTTCTATTAAATTTCTAGGACATGCATAATGGATGAATCCAACAAACTTTTGCATGCAAAGGCAGAGATTTGAAAAGCAACAGTTTGTGAGAAAAATGTCAAAGGTCTAACTTGTCCTATTTTGCATGAACTTTTAGCACTATTCACTAACGTTGGCAGAAAAGGTTTGGTTTCAATCTAGGGCTACASACCTCTGTTGCCAAAAATTCAAAGGCTGTCTCTTAAGCTGGCTCAGTGGAGTTTGACCATTCCTCATATGATCCTTCCTTCCCAGAAACTACTGGATGGCTGATATTTTACTTTGTATTGGTTTAGATGTATGATTGTTTTTTTAAATCTACTGAGAAAGCAACATCTAGTACAAGTTCTCTTCTGCATTTAAACCTGCTTTATTACCTACATACTACCTACATTTCACTAGTCTGTATCTAACTAGAAGGGCACATTTTCTACTACAAGTGAAGTTAATTATTTACTGTGAAGTCAATACTTGACCCCAGTGCATGGGTTTTAAACAGGAGCAAGTAAAATCCAAGAAATGCAATTGTTGTCAATGCTCAATTTTCCTTATCCCAGAAAAGCAGAATGTGACATACTGGAAGCTGGAATGTCCCTATGGCTTTTTTGAAACTGGGATTAGGCCTGAGAAGTTTTCAAGTCTGTTCAGGCTAATTATCTACTTACAGATGACATCAAAAACCTGCTCAATTTGGCAGTATCTTGGCCAAATGTATGCTTKGTTCAGCAAACATTTGTACTACCCTTGTAACAAACATTTGTGTTACCCCTCCCCGCACATATTTTCCTACCTGCTATTCCCTAAGAAAATGGAAGAGCACCAAAGTATCCAGTTAAAGAGCAAGCTGATGTAGGGGACAGTCAATCTCCTGTGTCAAATAATCTTTCTCCTGATGACTCCTGGCTGAGTTTTCATTTACTAAATCCTRTCACATTGAAACCTTCAGCATCAAATGCACCATCTGGCTCCCGCTGACACTGCTGCAGGAGCTGTCCTGCCAGAAGGAAACCTGACAGATCTGATGCTTTGAAAGCATGGCGTAATTGGGCCACTGTGTAGGTGCTACTGGAGCTTTATTGCAGCTGCATCTCTGCTTCTGGATGGGTTTCTCATAAATGCAGGAGCCCCGACAGGAAATTTGAAATAAACAGGKAATGGTCTGACACAGATCTGTGTAAGACTTCATGGACACAGATACAGA